TATTCCAAACCTTACATATTACAGAAACTAACGGCTCTCGAACAGAGTAAGGAAGCACTTTGTTCCGCTCACCATTCTCCCTCTCTCTCCAGCTTGTTCACATTCTCTTCAACATGACACCCTGGCCTTCTCACCACAGCCCCTGATGCTAGTACCTCCTTCCTTGCATCTACTTAAGGGCCAAGGGTGAGCAGCCTGATCCTGGGTAAAAACCTGAATTCACATCAAGAAAAAGCCTGCCATGTCTCTATTTCCAGGTAGAAATCTGTGCGACCTTTCCGGTTTTCTCAATAGCTAGCTGGTTAGAGCGCCCTCGTGTGTCTCCACGTGGTAATACCTGAGGTCTTTCCTGAGAGGTGACTTTTTCATCGCAGCCTCAGTAAAAGGTGTAATGGAAATTTTTTTCTCGTCACACTTCATGGCCCATGCTTGACACTTGGACTCCAGTTAAGCCATTGCAGCCCGAGTCTTAGGCAGGTTTCCTGCTTGCGCTCAGGCCTAAAGATTTCTTCCTGCTCCCTGCCCACACCTTTCTCCTCAGTCATTTTGAAAAACCCTGGTCTCACCGTTCACAGATGTCAACTTGGTCTTACCACCTTCTATTATTCCAAGCTTATCCAGCTCCCAAAGTAAGATCATATGTTTTTCTAAAAAGGGAAGAAAGTAAATCCAAAATAATAGAAAAGTGTGTTTTAAGTGTTTACTATATATATAAAACTATATATATATATATATTATATATATATAAATATATATATATTTACTATATATAGTAAAACTATATATATATATGATTTGTTCTATAGTCTAAGGAAAAGGTATCAAGAATGTTAAACCTTTCACAGGGGTCTCCTCATGGAAAGCCCTGACACTTGGGAAGGGGTAAATGATGATCAGAGACAGTGATGTCTGGCAGTGCGTGCTTGCGTGCGCGCGCACACGAACACATGTTTACACACTCTCACACTCTCTTCTGCTCAGGGAGCTTTCTCTCTCGTACCTTTCTCTCTCACTGAGAATCATGTGATGATATCAGCTCAGGTCTTTGGAGGAAAGAAAACTTATATTTTATATCTGGAACCTCAAGAATGTTCCCTGCAGGGACTTCCCTGGTGGTCCAGTGGTTAAGACTGCACACTTCCATGGCAGGGGGCGTGGGTTCAGTCCCTGGTCAGGGAAGTAAGATCCCACATGCCACGCGGCGTGGCAAAAAAAAAAAAAAAAAAAGTTCCCTGCTCCCTCCATCAGCTACCGCTGTGAAAGCCTGAGGGACTTTACTTCCCATATTCCACACATTCCCCTCATGCCTGCTCTGCAGCCATGGATTTTTCTGAATCCATGAGCCCCATTGGCAAACTCCACTGCGAGCCAAAGATACATGTGCTTTTGGCTTCACCCCAGGAGCATGTTCCTGAAAAGTTGCGGGCAAATTAAATTTTTGCAGGTCAGTTATGATTCCCCACCGGCTTCCAATGAGACTTTTGAGCTGCGCTCTCTCCTCCTCAAGATTGATTTTCAACACTTCAGCTTGAAGTTTCTCTGCCTCTTGCCATCCTCCCTGACAGTTAAACCTCATCTGGAAAATGAAGAACCTGACCGAGGAAACATTAAGAATTCTCGAATAGTCCAGGACCTATAAAAAATACACTAGAGAGGCTGCCATTTGGAAAAGACACCAGGTACCACCATTCAAACTGCAAACCCTCACCCTACATCCAGCTTTTGGAGAGGCTATTTCCAAGGGCTTGAGGGGTTTTGCCCCACTCTCTTGGGGGGCAGCAGCTGCCTCGGGGGATGGGCATTTTCAGTTTAGGAGGATCTTTACTACCCTTCTGCTTTCTGTTCTCTTCACCCCACTCCCAGGTGTCAGCTTCCAGAGACCTGTTGACTGAAGAAAAACACACAACCCAAAAGTTGCAGGTTATGTTTTATTCAGCGGACTTACTGAGGACTCTAGCCTGGGAGGCAGCCTCTCCGAGAGCTCTAAGGAACTGTGGCAAAGAAGTAAAGGAGGAGCCACGATATACGGGAGTTTTTGCAAGAAAAAATAAAAACATGTGTTCAAACATCAAAGACTACAGCTAATCACAGAAAACAGACATCTCAAAGTAGTGATTTTAGCCTCCCCCCCTTTTTTTTGGCCATGCCGTGCAGCTTGTGGGATCTTAGTTCCCCGGCCAGGGATTGAACCCAGAGCCCTCAGCAGTGAGAGCATAGAGTCCTAACCAATGGACCACCAGGGAATTCCCTAGCCCTTTTCTCTGTATGGCAAGATGCAAGAGTCTGGGCTCATGGAAATTATTCCTTAGATAAGCATCTTAACTATCTAGGGCCAGTATCCTGTTTTTCTCCATCCTGAGTTCCCCTCAGGGCACGCCATGGGGCCGTGGGGGACGGTGGCTGCAGGGGCTCCTGGCTTGATGGTAGTTGACTTTCATTGTTCACTAGACTAGCAGGCAGCATTCTTTGTTTACTGGAATGGCAGGTGATACTCTTTGTCTACAGACCCTCTCTCCCGAAATAGAGATGGGTGCTGTGGTCCCGGGGAACCATGTATGCAATTGGTGACCTAGACAAAGCACTTGGTAATAAGTAAAGAGTTGCTAGGGAAGCACCTTGGCTCTGGTCTCTGGCAACAGTTAAGCAAGGGCACGTGTGCCCTGGGTCTGTGATGCTGGTCAGGCGACTGCCCTTGCAGTCTTTGAACCGGAACCAGAGATATTATTAGTGCTGATAGCGAAGGGAACTGCCTGCTTAGTGGCGAGGAAAATTAATAGTCCAAGCGTTCTCCCATCCTGCATTCTCCATGCTGGCATTTTGATTAAAAGAAATACTGCTGCAGCTGTTTGCATATTCTAGAAGTGTGTGTGCATGTGTGCGGTTTAGTGTTTACAGATTTGGGGTTGTGGAGGGGAGTTTCCAGAGCAACGGAAGTAGCTGCTTGTCAGTCAGGGTTCATTTTGAAAATGAAAGCCTGAAAGCTTGGGGCCCACTCTGGGCCTGGGCCTGGTCTCCGAGAAGCCGGCAAAAGCCAGGAGTTGGCTTTGGTTAGTCAGCTCAGTGAAGCAACCACTTGATCACCTTTTGCCTTTTTCTTTTACGAATTGACCAAGTCTATGAGCTGCTTTTGGTGTCCTGCAGATTCAGTCTGAGGCAGGGATGTGGGAGTGGGCATCGAGGTTCTGGCCGAAGACACCTCCCCCAACACGTACACACACGATTACATTTCCCCAGGCTGCCAGACCAGAACGAGGTAACCTATTTCTCACACACTACTAGGTACACAAGGGTAGTATGACTAGTCATCAAAGAGTTTAGTTTAATTGGCATATGTCAGAGTAAAGGGAGAGAAATACAACACAAGGCTGTCTGTTCTGGGTGCCGGAGGAGTAATACAAACAGATGGTTGGGGGAGTGAGGGATCACTCTGGGCTGGGGTAATCGGAGGAGGCTTACTGGAGAAGGTGGCAACTGAGGCCAACTTTGAAGGACAGGGGGGAGAACTTCACCAAATAGAAGCTATGAGGGAGGACATTCTCGGTAGAGGAGGGCAAGTTCAAGATATGCTCAGGTTAGAACAAGTCCATCCGTTTGGCTGGAATTTGGGATTTGTGTGAATGGTTTGCTGTTGATAAGCTTGGTTTGAAGGCCAGATCCTCTGCGCCAGAACAAAGGCTGCGGTGTCACACAGACTTGCTCTGCCACTTCCTTCGGGGTGACCTTGGGCAAATGGCCTAATCTCTTTGCAAAGCGAGGACAGTAACAATACTTAGCTCTTGAGATCCTTGGGCGGGTGATAGAATGAACATATATAAAGCATTTAGCAGAGTGGCACATAAAAAGTATTCAAAAAAATGGATTACAAATGCATAGGCTGTCATGAAGGAAAGCTCCAGCTCTTTAGGGCTGACCCCAAATATCTGAGGGCAAAGGTGGAAAAGCCTCTGATACCTTCCATCACTGTGGGACCCAGTAGAGTGGGCTGGCTTGGCCTGAGTCCCCATTCCCTCTGGCCTAGACTGTTGGAATAGTCTCCTGGCTTTCTGCCTCTGCCTCTCCCATAATCATCTTCCTAAAGACCACCTTAATCATGGCTGTATTCCTCTCTGGCTCAAGAACCTTCTATGGCTCCCCACTGCTCATGACTGAACTCCCTACATGGGGTGGGGGGGAGGCAAGAACTACCATTTATTGAGAGAAGAGCCAAGAGGATGCTAATGTTAGGACTAAAAAGGTAAAATACCCTCCTCTTTTAAAAGCCTTGAAACTCGGAATTCGCGGAAATCAGCAGGTCCCTCAGGGAGAGAGCGGGATGCATCTCTGAAGAGGGTAAGGCGTTCGTGGCCGATGACTCAGATTCACCAGTACCTGCTTCTTCAAGCCAAGCTGGGAAAGGTTAAAGAGAAGAGGGCGGAGAGAGGAGTAGGGAGCCTCGGGGAAGCAGGGGGTAGCCCTTCTCAGTTCCCTGGAAGGGCTTTTACGCCTGGACACTTTCTCGAATTTCTCTGTAGGAATCCCGGGCAGCTCCGGCGCTGCGGGAAGGGTCAAGGCCACACAAAGGGCAGTGCAAGCGAACCCGAGTCACATGGGGCAGCCAAGCCGCCTCCGTGAATGCGAGGCGCGGGACAAAGACGGCTCGGGGACAAAGTGCAGGGAGACTCCTGAGGAGATAAGAGGGAAGGGCGAAGGAAGGGGCGGAGAGCGACCGCCCCGAAGCTGTAAGGACCGCGCTGCCGGAGGCCTTGGCTGGAAGCCGAACTCAGCCCACCGCGGAGGGGGCTCCCTAGAGCCTCTTCACCCAGCAACTGCGGGGATGCTGAGAACCCGGCTGCTGGGGCAGCTGGGCTGCTCCCGTTGGCGCTCGGGGCTAGCGCGCAGCCCGCCCCCGCGTCCGCCCCACAGTTGCCCACGCCGTGCGGGAGGCGGGGCCGCCCAGCTCACCTGGCCGTTTGGGGCGGGGCCGCCCGCGACCCGGGGAAGCGGAGGTGGCGGCGGTACCCGGGGTGCAGGAAAGGGGCTCTACCCGGGGGCATGGCCGGAGCTCCCACCCCTCTAGGCCCCCCCACCGCCCGTGCCGGGGGCCCTCCCTCGGCTCGCTCGCGCTCTCCCTCCCTCTTCTCCCCTCCTTCGCTCCCTCCCTCCGAGCCCAATTGCTCAAGCCGCTTCCTTCCCCAACGCCAGCGCCAGTTCCTCTCTTGGTGGGGCCCGGGAAGGGCAGCAAACGCTAGACACTGGAACAGCCGCGGCGGCAGGACCATGGCCGAGCCCCGAGGGGCCGCGAAGCCGGCACCCAAGGCCTCCTTCGCACCGACCGAGCTCAGCCTGCGGAGCGCCCCGCAGCCCCGCCCCTCGAGAGTGGACACCGTCAGCCTGGGCAGGTACCGGGGCAACGCCACCACCGCCTTCCACCGCTCGGTGATGCCCTCGGGAACAGTCTCGGGGCGCCGGCGGGGAGCGCTGCGGGAGCTGTTGGGGCTGCAGGGGGCGGCTCCCGCCGGGTGGCTGTCGGAGGAGCGCCCCGAGGAGCAGTCCCCGGGCGGGCCGAACGCACCGAGCGGTAGCGGGCTATGCCTGGAGCCCCGGGAGCACGCGTGGATACTGGCGGCCGCTGAGGGCCGCTTTGAGGCGCTGCAGGAGCTGCTGGAGGTCGAGCCGGGGCTGCTCCTGCGGGGCGACCCGATCACGGGCTACACGGTGCTGCACTGGCTGGCCAAGCACGGGCGCCACGAGGAACTCATCCTGGTGCACGACTTCGCCCAGCGCAGGGGGCTGCGGCTCGACGTGAGCGCCCCGGGTAGCGGCGGCCTCACGCCCCTCCACCTGGCGGCCCTGCAGGGCCACGATATGGTCGTCAAGGTGCTGGTGGGCGCCTTGGGGGCAGACCCCACGCGCCGCGACCACAGCGGCCACCGGGCCTGTCACTACCTGCGGCCCGACGCGCCCTGGAGCCTGCGGGAGCTGTCGGGGGCCGAGGACTGGGAGACGGCGGGCAGCAGCGAGCGTAACAACGCCAACAACAACAGCAGCGGCGGCGGCGCCGCGTGTACGCCGAGACGCGCCTCCAGCGCAGTGGGCGCGTCGGTCGTGGAGACAGCGGCGGCGGCGCCCGCCAAGGGGAAAGACTCCGTGGGCAGACGGGTGGCGCAAATTCAAGGCCTTCTCCGCCATATGTTCCCCTTCTTCCAGGACCGTTGAAGGAGACGGAGACTGGAGAGCGTGGAGGGACCAAGACGCTGCGGCGGGGCCGTGGTCCCGGGTGGTCCCTGGCGGTCCCTGGCGGTCCCGGGTGGTCCCTGGCGGTCCCGGGTGGTCCCTGGCGGTCCCGGGTGGTCCCTGGCGGTCCCGGGTCCCACCGACGGGGCGGCGCCTCGGACGCAGCTCGGGCCGCAGCCTTGGGCGCTGGTCCTGCAGGGAGCAGATCACCTCGGGGTCCGTCTCAGGCACCTGTCTCAGGAGTACAGACACCGGCCAGGAGACGCGGGGACCAGGGCACGCCTAACCGAGGGAGACCAAGGACCAAGCCTTCCTGGCGCCGAATCCCCAAACTACAGGATTGAGTTAGGAGCAGAAGCGTGGTCCTGCTTAGGAGAGGGAAAGTTAGCTTCCAGTAGACATTTCTGGGCAGGTGGAAGCTCTGGGTTTATTAGGAAACATTTGCTAGAAGAATGAGTTAAGATTGTAAACCACTGACGCAGAGGCAGCGCCTAACTGCAGGCCTGACTCGGCTGTTAACGGGTCACTTTGTGAGGGCAGGCTCAGCCCCTGTCAACCTGCTCCTGAGACAACCAGGCCTTACCCATACGGTTTGGTTTCTAATGTATCACGAATGACTTCTTAAGCATATTAAAGTGGCATATGTTTTCCTTTCACATTACAAAGCTGTCCTTTGAATGACTTCTTTTTTCCATCAACCACCTCTTCCCTGTGTTTGCAGGGAAGAGGTCACCAACCCACGGCTGCGAGCTAGTGATCCGGAACAGTCTCTGGATCTCATTTGCACAGCAAGTGGCCAAGGTGTGCACCAAAGGAGCTACTTTCCCCTTGGCTCTGAGTAGAGACACACAGTTTACCTGTCTCCTGGGCTCTTTAGCATCTAGGTCTGGCCTCTTGCACAAGTCTCATCCCAGAGGAGTTGTCTGCAGGGAGCAGAGGGGAGGTAAAAGGAAAAAGCCTCCAAATATGTATTTCTAATATTTCCTGGTGAGTCATGTAATTTACCTTGACTTCTGCCCTCCAATGAGACACACCCCCTGGCATTTTTTCCAAGATAGGATTTTAATCATCAGCATTGTGGGTTTCTTTTAGTTACATTTACAGGTGGGTTGATTTGAGCTGAAAGGAGGGAGAAGCAGTTGGTGGCTGGAAATCCATGCTGCTTTCGAGAACAGCATATTTTCAAAATAGCACTGTATCCCTGGAGGGTTGGGTAGCCCTTGCAATGGACTGCTGTGTCCCCAGCCCTCCCATCCCAGTCCTCTAAGGCCAGGGAGGAACTGAGTCACAATAAAACACAGCCCAGAGACACCACCCTGAGCCCATCTGTCCAGGTTTCCATCTCTGCCTGGCGGGCCTGTTTGCCCCTTCTGTGCTCAAAACGTTCCCACCTGCCCTTAATAACGCATTAGATTCTTCCCATCCATGAAATGATCCAAATCTTTCCTATTGATTCTCAGCCTGTCCCGTGTCTCTAGGAACTATACCTTAAACATATTTACAGTGTAATGAAGCATTTCCTTTTTCTTCTTCTAAATGAACTTCTTTGGGAATTCCCCCGCCATCCAGTGGTTAGGGCTCGGCGCTTTCACTGTAGGGTCCTGAGTTCAATCCCTGGTTGGGAACTAAGATCCCACTAGCCGCGCGGCAGAGCCAAAAAAAGAAAAGAAACAAAAATGAACTTCTTTGATGTTTGCAGTGGGAGGGTGAGCAGCTCCTGGCTTGTGGCATTTGGAATGGGCATCTAGCATAGCCCTCGTCCACCCCCATGCCCATTTTATAGATGCAAATTGGCTAACTGATGCAGGACCGCGAGTTCTGCTCCACAACCTCTCCCTTGACAGCTGCCGAGGTGGGTTGGGTTTGGTGAAGGCGTCAGGGCAGGGCCTTCCTGCCACATGGCTGAGTCTGCAGACTCCTGGCTTGGAGGGAAGATTGGCATGTGCCTTCGTCCAACATTCAAAGGACACTTTTAACAGTAGTCCCCTCTTCATAGGAAAAGTTTGAACCTAAGCATCTTAACTATTAGCAGATTTGGGGACCTAAGACAAGCATCTGCCCTGCTCTTTCCAAAATGCACACCAAGTCAGCTGGAGGATTTGAAAGCGGCTTTCTGGAGTTTTTCCTGTAGTCAGCTATTCTTCCCCACAGATTTTTCTCATCATGTGATATTGCCTAGCCTACCTCCTCCATGTAAAATTGAGGTTTGGCTGCAGGGGACAAACCCCCATGCTGAAAACTCTCCATGCCTAACATCAAGCCATTGGCATTTCTGGTATGCTTTTCGAGGCAAATATGGTATGCTCACCCCAAGAGAAAGAACAAATTCCCTGAGAAACTTCTTTCCAGGGGAGCAAAACAGAGTTAAGCAGATGATGCAAATCTGCATTCTAGTGGGACAGGCAGACAAGAAAAGGAGGCAGAAGCAGGGCTCTGACAGGTAAGCATGGGGGTTGGAGTAGGGGGTGCTGCAAAGAGGGCGGGGCCTAACCCAGGCCAAAGGTGCAGGAAAGGCTTTCGTGGAGGAAGAGTACACCTGATCTGAGGCTGGAGGGGTGAGTGGGAGTCGCTCAGTGGAGACGGGAGAGCAGCCTCCTGGCAGGGCCACTGGAGTATACACGGATGCACATAGCAAGTACCAGGAGATGTGAGTCAGCCGGTTTGAAAGGAAGGTGGGAGCTGGGGAGTAATTAACGGCAACTCTGGAGAGGTGGATGGGGGTCCAGATCGCTAAGGCTCTCATAGGTCATGCTGAAAGAGGAATACAGATTTTAACCTAGAGGTAGCTGGGAGCCATAGAAGTTTCTAAGCAGGGGAGTAACATGATGAGATTTTAGAAAAATCACTCTTCCGGTCACGTGGAGGATAGAGCCAAGTGGGGGAAAATGCATCATACAAGCAAAGCGTTTCAGGAGAAACGCTTCAAGGAAAGCCACGCTTCTGCTGGGAAGTTCAAAGCCCCCTGTGGAAGGCAGTGGCCTTCAAACTTGTTTTTTATTCTCTCTTTTGCTCAAATGGAGCTTACCTCAGAGCACCAGGTGTAAAACTAAGTGCGGAACCGCTCAGCTGAAGCTGGGTTGGGACCTCTCCCCCCCTCCCCCCGATCCCGTGCCCCTGTCTTAGACCAGTGGGGGTCGCACAGTGGCCCCGGGAGCAAAATTGCCAAAACTGCTGGCGTGGTGAAAAGTGCTCAGCCTAACCTGGGTTCCGAAACCTGCTACTGATTAGTGACCTTGAGCAAATCACTCACTTCTCTGAGCTGCAGTTTCCTCATCAGTAAAATGGGAACAATACAAGCTCCCTTGCATGGTTGTTCTGATGATTCGAGAAAATACATATGCAACGCCTAACAGCGCTGCAGGACACATAGGAAATAGAAAATAACAGAGAATGTATTTATTAACAAATTTATTAACAAATAACTTCTTGTTTGGAAAAATTAAGGTACTCAGCAGGCTCTTGTGGTGAAACTACTTTATCTGCTAGGGTAGCCCAGGAGGGATCTTGTGGTTACCTGAATTATCCCACCTCTAAAATGTGTCCACATTCATTGCAAATTATTTTCCCTCTGTACTAGATGAGTGGCTGCTCCTCAAAGGAGATATTGGTTCCTCTGCTGATGTCTTCACAGCCTACACACTTTTCCTTTAGACAAAATCGAAACAAGCCGACTTACCTTGTTCTCAGCCCCCAGAAGAAGTAAAAGCAGTAACTTAGTAAGTAATTGCCCACCAACTATTAAATAGGTTAGATATTATTTCCAGATAAAGCCATAAACTGGAGTCAGGGCTAAACCTGAAATCCTCTGAAGAGAATAAAAGCACACAAGTTGATCCGTCTCTTGACCCTGTTATCTATAGAAATGCCCCCTCCCATCCCAGCCAACATACCCTGCATTCCACACCCAGCCTCCCTGTTTTCTCTCTTTCTGTTCATTTTAACGAAGGGAAGGAGCACGCCTGTCTCCTTTCAAGATGTAACTCATGCTCTCAAGCCCGCCTCCTCCCACAGCCTAATTCCATCAGTTGTCCCTCTCCTGTATCTTGGAGCTCACCCTCAGTTTAGTTCAGTGCAATAAACGTTTGTTGAGCACCTACTAGGAGCCAGGCTCTTTGGGTGACAAACACTTCCCAGCCAAGCTTTTCCACAGGGAGGTCTCCTCCCTTAACATCTCCACTTCCTCAGCTCTTAATCACTCCTATGCATTCTGGTTTCTGCCTCTGTCATCCCAGCACAGCTGCTTCCACAAAGGTCTCCCATGATGACCTCCCGTCTGCCAAATGCAAGTCCTTACCTTTGTTCACTTCTTGGCAGCACTGGCCAATGTGGGCAACTTCCTCCTCCTTGAAACTCTCTTCTCTAGTCTTCCATGACCTTCTATGGCTTTAGTTGCTGGCACTTACCAGGTTGAAGTCATGGAAAGTTCACTTTACATTCTCTCCCTAAGTCATTTCATCCCTTCCCCCACTCACCCCTGCCCCCAACTCTGCTCCAGCCACACAGTCCTTGCTGTTCCTCAAAAGAGCCTTGTTCTCCTGAACTCTGGGATTCCTACATGCTGTTCCCTGTCCAGAAACACTCTTCCCTCTATTCCTTGCCCCCTTTCACCTGGCCTACTCCCACTCATCCTTCAAATGTCAGTTTAAATGTCACCTCCTTGGGGAAGTCTTCTCTGACCCTCAGGCTAGGTTAGAACTGTACCTTTTCTAATCCTTATCACACTTGAGAAGTTATTCATGCAGTTATTAGATTAATATCTCCCCTGCCCCACTAGACATAAATTCCATGAGGGCAGGAACCAAGTCTGTCTTATTCACCACATTATCCCTAGTTCCTGGTAGATGGAAGGCGTTCAATAAATTGGCAATGGAATCACAGATTTGACCTCAAAAGCACAAGAAGCAAAAGAATAGATAAATTGGACTTCATCAAAATTAAAAACTTTGGACCCTGAAAGGAAACTACTAAAAAAGTAAAAAGACAACCCACACAATGGGAGAAAATATTTGCAAACATATATCTCATAAGGGTCTAGTATCCAGAATATATAAAGAACTCCTACAACTCAACAGCAAAAGTATAAAAAACCTGATTTAAAAACAAGCAAAGGACTTGAATAGACACTTCTCAGAAGATATGCAAATAGCCAACACGCAGAGGAAAAGGTGCTCAACCCCATTAGTTGTTAGGGAAACGCGAGTCAAATCCAGAATGAGATACCACTTCACATCCACTAGGATGACTATCGTCAAAAAGTCAGATGAGGGCTTCCCTGGTGGTGCAGTGGTTGAGAGTCTGCCTGCAGATGCAGGGGACACGGATTCGTGCCCCGGTCCGGGAGGATCCCACATGCTGCGGAGCGGCTGGGCCCGTGAGCCATGGCCGCTGAGCCTGCGCGTCAGGCCACAACAGTGAGAGGCCCGCGAACCGCAAAAAAAAACAAAAAACCAAAGTCAGATGATAACAAGCATTGGTGAGGATATAGAGAAATTGGAACACTCCTATTTTGCTGGTAGGAATGTAAAATGATACAGTCACTTTGGAAACTAGTCTGGCAGTTCCTCAAAAGTTAAACACAGAGTTACCATACGTAATACTGTGATTTATAATAAAAAACATATATTTGGTCTTCAACCCCATTCCTGGCACAGAGCTCCT